AGCGTTAAGAATATCGATTCGTATTGTCAAACTCTCATTCTCGGTTAAAAGTACCCACAAAACAAACGCGAAATGCATTTTTTTTAAGACAGGAGATTAGAAAGTCCATTAGGCCTTGCAAAATGCGATTTTGCACAATTTTAGTGTAAATTATAATATCGGAATCATAATTATGAAAACGGCCTCTGCTATTACTCTATGCAGGTTACATCCGTCATTAGTTCTCCCCCCCCCTCTCTCTCTCTCTCCCTCCCTCCCTCCTCTCCTCCCTCTCTCTCTCTCTCCTCCCTCCTCCCCCTCCTCCTCTCCCTCTCCCTCCGCTCCCTTCTCCCTCGCCCTCCTCCCCCCTCTTCTCTTTCTCTGTATCTCTCATGGGTGTTTACTTCTGCCCACTCTGCGTTGTGTCTGTCTCTGCGCCGCCTCCCTCAGTGTGTCGGTCTGTGTACTATCCCCCTCTACTCCCTCTCTCTCTCTCGACAGCGACAATTTGCGTGACATTTCGTAGAACGCAGTTCGTGCCAGCATCACAGCGCGAAGTAGGGCACCGTCTCCCGCCCTCTCCTTCATCGCTCTCATCACTCCTCTCGCTGCTAAAAGCTTGGCCTGCCTCGCTATCAACGGCGCGCCATGCAGCTTTTGTTAGCGTAATGTATAATCCGTGTTTCCAGTCAGCTCCGATTAATTATCATACCTCTTTAAAAAGAATAAACGGAAGCAAAAACGAAAAAAAACAACAACTAGCGGCCACTGAAGTATAGCTCGAAGCATCGGAGAGCGCTGTTTTATATCACGTTTATAAATACACACACAAACACACACACGCTCATACGAACACACACGTACACGCTGGTCGTCGTCGACAGCGGCATCGTGTTAACTGGATCCTCGGTACATGCAAAAAATATGAAACTCGTTTGCCTCCCGCGCCCACCTGGCGCGGTGCGGCGCGGCACGGGGAGGGAGCGGGCGGGGAGGGTGGAGAAGAGAGGGAAGGGGAGAGAGAAGTGGAGTGTGGGAGGAGCCACGCCCGCGGATGGCGACGGTTTAATTACAAGCTAGCAACGGACGCCGCGCCGCAAGGGCATAAGGCGGGTTCGCAGCCGCGTAGGCCCAGGTCCTCCGCCTACGCATGGGTATTTCTGTATTGACCCCCAAAGAAAGTTCGTGAGTATTCGCGGCGGGGAAAGTTCGTGAGTATAAGTACGTGCAGTAGCGAAACGAAATGAGTGCGGGCCCTCCGGCAAAACGTTTTTCAGGGCTCACTTTATAAACGTGTGTAGCAACCACAAGTAGGGTTGTAATCTTAAATAATGAAAATATCCCCTAACAACAGGCCCCGTTTTACCCGGGCCCGCTCGAATTGCTGGCCTTGCGGACGCGAATGTTACGCCACTGAGTACGTGGAAGGTTTTTAAGAAGCAATCGAATGCACGTAGCGAAGAGTAATATAGCTCTAAGAAGGCAATTTACTGTGAATCGTGACTGTCATAGCAGTTAATCTGTCCCGATGAATTCAAGTACGTTGATTCCTATTTAAATTGATGCTGTGTTTCCTAACTTTTTTTTCTATTAGAGCATGATCTCCATACTTTGTGGGGAAAAGTCTGTTGAGTACGTCTCAGGAATGAAAACTTACAAATAATACTGGTATATAACCGTTTTATTTTTGTAGTCAGTCGCGGTTTCTCGAGGTGATTTTAAAATTGCAGAGTGTTTTCGACATGATGTAAAAAAGTCAAAGAACTTTCATTGAGCAGCCTGCTAGAACTAATTGTTAAATATTTTTTTTGAAGACGTAAATGGACGAAAGTACTACAACGAGATAATGATTTAAAAAATTAAAAATTACAGAACAGAGAGTAGTAAGTATATATTTTTTCTGAACTTGTATGCATTCTCTTTCATTTATGGCGTGCGCTTCTCACAATATGTTGCATGCATATTCATTTAGAGTCCATTACAATGTAACTATCAGAGTTTATTACAGTGTAAGCGGTTGACCAACACATTGGAAATGTACCCTTTTACAGACACGCAGAGAAAATGAATCGTACATGATTCACCAAATTTTTTAACGTGCTAAAATTAATGAGCCATAACATGACCAGAAACAATGCCTCTCTTTCAATGCCGAAGAAGTAATAAAACTCGCCTGCAGAAGACTCTGATTACGTCGTAAAGACATTAGTTAACTGTGGAGTAATAACAACATTATTTCCTTACGCTCTGTATCTGTAGGAGGCGAAGAAAAAACGAGTAAAAGCTCATTCAACGAAAGAGAAATGAAAACGAAGAACATGACCCGAAACTAGAAAAGTAGAGAGTGAGAGAGGGAGAGAAAGAGAGAAAAAGAAGAGAAAGAAAGAAAAGAGAAACACTTATCCACTACATTATCCTTGAAGAGCCGCGAACCACGAGCACTGAGAATTTCTGGAAGTGCGTCATTCCGTAATTTGCGCAGTGTCGTAAAATTCCTTTCATAGAGCAGGTGGGCATTATGGTCGATAATACTTAAAAATAAATTTCACCCAATCTATTTACAACTGTTGTAGTTTAAAAATGGAACGTTTTCATGTTTAGAAAATGAAAATGATAATGAAAAGAAAGTATTGGTGAGAAAGAAAAACAAGAGCGACCTAATGTAATTTATGTTTCCTATCACTCAATTAATATTGGCAAGGGAAGCGGAAAATATCCAGAGTATTATTCCATTACTGCAACTAAATAGTTGAAAACAGTTGTGATGTATTAATAAATAGTGATAATGAAACATAATTGAATAAACACAAATAAGACTACAATGGGACTCGAAGCCATGACAATTGGATTGAAGTATTCGTATGTAGCTCTCGCTTGTACTTTAATTGATAACTGATTTAAATGCAGTTGGCGAGTATTTATCTCATTCATCTATTAAATATCCGCACCTCGTCAGCAAGTTCAGCCGTACTCCCTCATGACTACCCCATCCGGATCAGCTGCCCCGACCTGTTCTGCTCGCTCTGCTCCATCGCGCCCTACACCCACCTCGCATCCGCCCCGCTGCTACCCTGCTCCCACCCCGCACCCACCGCCACCTTCC